CCCCCGCATCCCCGCGCTCCGCAGCCGGCGGGGAAACACCCAGCCCGGAATTCAGCTGCTTTAGCAATGCCCGGCCCCGGTGGAAGGAGAGCAACACCACCCCCCCACGCTCCTGAGCTGCACCCAGCTCCGGGTTTGCATTAATACCCTTACATTAGTAAATATTATAGCTCTAAAGGGAGCTATACATTATATTACGGCTCTAAATGGAGAGTGAGCTAGCCCCATTCGCTAGGTCCATCACTTGTCCCCCACGCTGCATCCTAATCCAGACAAAAACCCTCTCTGTTGGCAGTCACCACTTATGGGTGTAAATATACACACACACACACACACACACACGGGAGTGTATGTGTATATAATATATATATATATTAAAAAAAACCTATCCTGGGTTGCAGAGGGGATTGAAGACAGCTTTTTGCACTGTGCGTTCATGGAGGTGCTACCCAGGAAGGCAGACGATGCGCAGACCCCTCTGAAATTTAGCAGTTCCCCTGCATCCAGAGGATATAAGTATCGTGTGTGTCCAGTATACAAAGGGCAGGCGTGGACTCTAAGCTGTTTTTTTTCAGGCTCCCCGTCTCCAGACTCCTATCTCTCCGGAATAGATATCTACTCCGCTGTGATAAAAGGCTGTTGTTTTGCTTAAGCACCAAGGTGGAGCAGGACTCAGGGTACTTTGTCCCTCAGCAAAGGGGAGTGCATCTGAATTCAACCTTATATCCGGGTGGTTAAAAGGTCTGTAGAAACCTTTTTTATGTAGCTCAGTGTTTCAACGTGCTTCTGCCAGGAGCACAGGGCCCTTCTTGGCTCTCTCCCTTCACCTATGCCGTGCGGCCGCAGGCAACGGCACCAGGAAGTCCCTGCAGCAGCTTCGACTGCAAAAACGTTTGCTCCGTTAATAAACAGCCTTGGAAAATTCTCCACAGATAGCGATCAGTTTGGGTTAGAAATTAAAATCAGAAACTAAAACACCCCCAAACGCTCTGGCAGATTCCCATCCTCACTATCTCTCAGCGAGATGATCTCTAACACATACCTCCCTGCAGAATCCAAGCACCAAGCTTGTATTTTAAGACAGACCTGCAAAACATTGCCATGTAAGCAAAAAGTCCCCAAAGCCTAAGAAAAAAGCAGTGGGGACAGGGATGAGACAGCTGCTGGTGCTTTCTGAGACGCAGTGATGACACTGCGGAATGTCACCCTCAGGAAGCAACTTCTTCGCTGTCCTGCTTAGTAGCAGCCTCTGCTGCTGGATCTCTCTGCACTGGTGGTAGATACTTGTTGCAGCTATGGGTTTCTGGGGTCAGATAGCAGGGTGCACTGACAACATGAAGTGAGCAGCAGACAATGTTGTCAGATAATAAGACATGAGGCTCTTGTCTTAAATGTAAGATTCATATCAGATCAAATTAAATTTAAAAGCTCCCATCTCCAATTAAGCTCCTGCTGCATCTCTCAGGCAATGACGGATCCAAGCCCTGGGCCTGCCTTTCTTCAGCCTACTTTCCCTAAGCCTTTCCGATCTGGAAGATCTTCTTCTGGGTGCGCTGCAACACAGGCAAAACCTCTCTCCTCTCCTCTCCTCTCCTCTCCTCTCCACTCCTCTCCCTCTCCCTCTCCCTCTCCCTCCTTCCACCTGAGCATGAAGGGAAAAACATGAACCAAGATCACTTCAAAATAGACAAGGGGAAAAAAAAGCAAAATAGAAGAGTAAGGTCGCCTGCTTTGGGATGTCTCACATCGCCTCCTCTCTAGCTTTGAGATGTGCCATGCTCTCACCTATGAAGCCCTATGAGCCCCCATGGAAATCCCTGGGACATCGATCCCATGGCACCTCGGGGCCTGTGTTTCCCCTCGAGATGTCCACACTCGCTGCTCAGCAGCATTGAGCTAAAATTTGAGCATTGCTACAATTGTATTTTTCTATATAAGCTTCAACTTTAGCACAGGCTAAAAGCTGCAGGAACCAATCCCCCAGGGACTCCCAAGCACAGGTCCAGACCAGTGGTGCCCAGCCAAACCACCACCACGCTTCCAGAAGCCAAGACAAGGCTCTCAGCACCATTAAGAGCTTCAGACCCCATCGAGAGGAGAAACACCACAAAATTTACCTTTGACTGGATATTCCAGGAAGTCTCCACTTCAGGATGGGGTGGGTGTAGCCGCTGCCTCACCCCAGGCTTTCAGCAGTGGGGTGCGTAGCACTTACCATCCCCAAAGTACGGGATTAAATGTTCTCTAATTCACAGCTCCGGTCCTGTCTGCACAGCCACTCCCAAGCATTGGAATCAACATCTCTCAGTAGAGCTGTCTCTCAGTGGAGACATGGGGTTTGAAATCCATTAGCGCTGAACAGCATCACAGTCACTCGTGACCGCAGGCGGACAGGAGGCCAGCAGCATACCCAAGGGGAGGCGAGGAGAAAGGCAGCTTCCAGCTCCAAAGTACAGCGCGGGCCTCCAGCTGCTTCTCTGCGTGCAGACCTGTGCTCCCACCCACCACCAACTTGCAGGACGGGCTCTAACGACGCCTTCTTTCGGGCAAGCAGGAGACCCGGAGTGAGCAAGACACCATGGAGTGAGAAAAGCTAAGGCTGGGAGAGTCCCTTAAAATCCAGCCCTGGCTGATGCAGGACGGGAGATTTCACCAAAGGGTCTCGTCTTGGGAGAGGCACTTCAGCCCTCCAGGGAGCACATCCACCCTCAAGAGCGATGCATGGTTCTTGGGCTGCGTGACACCAACGCCAGCGTGTTGTCTCAGGGGGATGACACCTCCTCCATGAGGGAAGGTGACAAATCGCACGGCCGGTGACAACTCACTTATCACCCTGCAAACACGAGCCCTTGCTGAAGGGCCAAGCTGCCTTGCTTCGTCTTGATGGGATGCGTTGCCTTTGCAGAGCCCTCTGCTCCCAAGTCACTCTCGAATGTTATCGTGTTGGCTTTTGTGAGTATAGTAACAAGCCTCCCAGAAGAAGCAAACAGCCACAGAAACAGTTTCTGCTCCGCACTGGAAACAGATGGTGCTTTACCCAGCACTGGTATCAGGCCCACTGCTGTACAACACCAGTACGACACACAGAGCTAGATCTTTCTCCCCTGTGTAATTTGGGCAATGAGAAAAGGCAGCCTTGAGCAGGGCCCGGGGGCTTGTTGCTCTTCTACCCTCTCCATCCTCGAAGCAGCAGCGTGGTGCCAAAATACGCTGCTGCTGTTGGCAGATTGCTGCGCTCCCCAGAGCAAAGGGAGAAGGCAGAGCCCTGCTTTCCCAGAGGAAGGCAGCCAGCAAAGCCTCTCCCTTACATAAAGCCGGGAGTCCCATGGACATGCTCCCCAGGACATGCTGATGGGGCTCAAGCTGCCCAGCCCTTCTAGTTTTCTTTCTGAAACCTCAAACGTGCGCCACAGGCATTGCAAGGCCATCACCTGGAGCCCAATTTGTACACTCGGCTCAAAACTAGTGTGTAACAGGCAGAACAAACAGGCGAAGCGCTCTCCCTTCAGAGACACTTGCTGCCAAAGCTTTCACAAAAGCTGCTTCCCCCCCCCTTGTAGCAATTCCCTGCTTCAGCTGAAGTGATGAAATCCAAAAGGGGAAAGCAAACAAACAGCTGGTTTGGAAAGCAAGAGCAAAAAGGGAGATTTATTCCAGGCTGTGGGTAATGCATCATACGAGATGAAGGAATATTTTCCGTGCCTCTTGGGCAGTATTTGAGTTTTAAGGCCTCGGGAGTTAGGCAGCATTTGCAGGCACTTAGTGTTTCCAGGATCCTTTACACTTGGCACCCACGTCGACCGTTTTCCTTGGAGATTTGCAAGCACTTTGCAAACATACATTAATTAACCCGCCAGCCCTCCTCCTCTACAATGAGATTTCCCTTTCCCTCTAATGTGCCTGTGCTAGGGGCAGGGGAAACTGAGGCACAGCGAGGCCATCAGCCTGCAGCAGGGCTGAGGTCAGGGGACTGCATGCCGTCCAGCTCCCCTTTCCATCGCAAAACAGCCCTTCCCTTTGCAAGCATGACCCACAGCGACAGCACTTCCCTCCATCGGGCACTGCCCACCCCGTCCCCGAGGAAGGCATGGGTGGCTCGGCTCAGAGAGCCTCTGCGCCGGCCCTCAGCGCCACAGAGCAGAGAAACAGAGAGCCAGTGTGCTTAAAAGGCCGAGCAGGCAGGCAGGAGTGGGGTGGCAAGCAGATTAGCAGCCGTATCCGATTGTCTGCATGTGTGACAAGGCAGCGGAGCACAGCCGGGTTGGGAAAGGAGGAGAAGGGGCATTTTAATCAGTCACATGGAGGGAAACACAGAAGATGCTGGACCTCTGTCAAGTGCCAGTAGATTATTAACCTACTAGCCAATGGGAAAAAAAACCAACACCACTACAGACTCCTGGGAATCCAGTTATAATGAGACTGCAACGATCCTGGATGCTTTGACAGTCAACAAAGCACCTCAGCCTGCTGCTGAGATCAGCAAATGGCTTGGGGACCGTTTTAATTTTGCTGTTCCCTCACTGGCCCTGGCTGACCCCAGAGCAGGGTCCTGGCTGCAGAGCTGCTGGCAGACCCTTTTTGGGGTGGCAATTCTCTGGTTGTTGCTTCCGGGGCTCCTGATGGTGACTCCCCGGGACCTCAGTGCCCTGCCCTGCGTTTAGGGATGAGAGGTGGCAGGGCAGGGGTGATGCTCACCTGATGGCCTAAGCCTGGCTGGGACGAGATGGGGAAGGAGCAGGCTGCGAACCCCTCCCGAGCTCTGCCCGTGGTACGGAAATCCAGCCAGGCACGTCACCGCTCGCAGGGAGCCACGCAGATCTCCAGCACACTGCTGTCCCTCTGCTTCCTCGCACGACCCGACCTGCCGGGATAAAGTCAGGCAGTTGCCTGTGACTTCTTCACTAGTGGGCTGAGGGCAGCAGGAGCTCGCTGCCAGCAGAGGAGCAACCCTGGGTGAAAATCTGCAAGGAGAGACAGGGGAGAGGGAGGCACTTGCTGCCGATCAGCCTCACCGCCTCCCCACACTCAGCATCCCCCCTCGCTGATTACACCGAGATGCAATGGGGTGACGCCGCTATCCCCAAAGCACTAGCAGCTCCAGTGAGCAAACGGCCTGAAGTCGCGGCAGGGAAGGGCCTTGGCCCCGAGCGCCTCCAGCCCGGTGGCAGGGCTGTGGGTGTTTTCCAGCTGGGCAAGCAGAAACAAACCCCATTGTCCGCTGGGCGGGTGCAGCTCAGCAAGGGGCCCAGGACACCCACAAGGCTCCCAGGGGCTGGTGTGGGCGGTGGGGTCCAGTCAAGCTCCAGCTCCTCTCAGGCTGCCGGAGGGGAGGGCCTGGTGCCCCATGGGGCAGCAGCATCTTTGGGATGCAGGGAATCTCCCAGCTGGCAGGCGGGGGAGGGGGGGCACAAACCCCTCTGCCCAAGCCA